TGCGCAAGAGATTAAATCGTGGCTGAAATGAAGTCAATGCCTCCAATGGGGCCGGGGCAAAGAATTTCTCATCTGCTAAAGCTAGTCCATAGTTGGTTGATTATGTGTACAAGTGCCTTGTCAGGGAGAATACACCGAGCGCTCTTTAATCAAATGGAGAAGGGCATAACAAGGCGTTGGATATCTTTATAATCGAGACTGGGTGCCTTCCTGAAGAATGCACTTTATTCAGACATGCTTTTGAGCTCAGGATGGGTGTGATTCTGTGGCCTGTCTTACACAAGAAACAAGATTTAATGGCCCTTCAGTTTTAAAATCTCCTCGCTCATTTTTCCTTTCTCTCTAATGTAAAAATCTAATTTGATGGTCTGATCTTTCTTATTTCTCAGCTGGAAATACCTAGTTGCACTGGTGCAACAGTGAGGAGTTTTATCAGACAAGTCTGAACCAGATACTGAAATTGCTGCCTGGGCACTAGATGTGTACTGCTTCCTTAAGCCCCCCAAAAGGCCCAATTTCCTCACAGGGTCTGTTGTGTCACTGGTGCACGTTTTTGTAGTTTATTCAGAACATGTGTAGTGTTTTTCTTTTAATGATTTGTTTTGTTTTTTCCCCTGCCAAGCATAAGTGGGTGGAGGCTGTGCCACCTTCAGTATAACACTCTACTGCAGAGGTTTGCAGTCTGTGGTCCCACAGACTTTTTGGTCAATGAATTCTTCTAACATCCAACACCATCCCCTTGTTCAAGTCGGATCTCAGCTCCGAGAGGAAATTGTGGATGTCCACCTTAAGGAAAGGGTGCCTTTGGAGAGAGACTCTGTGGTTCCTTGTAAGGTTATGGTTAAGTAATTGTAGCTTCAGATACTACTGCCTTTGATGTCCTAGTTACTGAGCTCTGGTTTTAGACCGCCTCTGGTTTTTTTGGAAGGTGGTACAAGGCCGGAGGCTGTGATATGCCACCTTTAATAGTCTACGATGGCATGTCAGTCCTCCTTACTAAGTACTCATGGAAAATTAGCGTTTTGTATCATGGAAGCTGTGGGTTTGCGTCTTGACGCTTAAACAAAATGTGTTAGTTATTCCATCCAGACCCCTCTGTAGCAAAGCTGACACTAGCCTTTACCGTACGGACATAGGGACCCACTGCGGTTGCGACTGCTGTGGGCTGTGCTCGGTGCAGTCGGTGCTGACTGCCCCCCGTGACGGGGAGGGCACAGCTGCCACCTCCTGGGGGGCTCAGCCCTTGCTGGGGACTTGCCTGAATAACGTGCAGGTTCTGATCTTCATGGGTTTTAAACCACAACTCTCCTCCTCCTATTATTTTCTGAAAAGGATAAGATACTTTCTTTTTTTTTTCTTCCTGTGACAGATATTTTCTTCAATTCTCTATGTGGCTTTAAGCTGCTAACTTTGGTTGTACCTTGCGCTCCCTATTCAACTGGAAATCAAGCAGCAAAACGTTGCTTCGCAACTGACGCATTTGGTTTTCATCTGCTTTTGAGCTGCGTTTCCGGATGAAAGAGGGATGTAGAGAAGATGCCACCTTTTCAGCTAGCCGCTATATCATTAGGGAGTTCAGAAGAGTTCAAACACAAGCTTAGGCTTCTGTTTGTGAGCCTAGAATGGAGCAAGAGGTGGAAACGATGAAGAGCAGGCGATAGCGCTATGGCAGAGCACGGGGCCCTCTCCCTCCTCCAGGCAATGGGGCGTTTCTCTGCAGAGCAGGTGAGCAGCAGCCAGCCCAAGGCACCGCCACGTTACAGGCGCAGATGGCTGCTGGAGGCAAAAGGAGCTGTCCTAAATGAGAAGTGTTGGAAAAGGGAGCTAAGCAAGCTACAAGATGATATTAAGTGTAAGCTTTAGCGGGGATAAAAGCAGAGATATGTTACAGGGATGTGTAGTAGTGGTATTTTCTCACGCTGAAACGATGTGAAGCTACCCATTAAATAAACTAATTTGAAATGCGTTTTAGACCAAAGCACTTTTGATGATTTTAGGTTAATTAAAGTATCCCAAAATAATAATTAAAAATATTTTTACCTAGCTTTGAGTCGATCCTCTGTCATCTGCCATTACTGGCTAAATATTTGAGTCCCATTTTGGTGTTGGACAGTGACTTTCCTCTCGTAGTGTTCAGCGGTTTCTCACGTTAGTACCTCTTAGTTTAACCTTGGGCTTGGTGCTTGGTCTGGCCATCTGCCTGCATACCTTAATGCTGACAGTTTTGCTTTCATTGGGATGTTCATTCAATTATGTCCCTCCAAGAACTTCCAAAATTTTGCCAGGCAAATTACAGAAGAGAGGAAAAACCCCAAATAAAATACTGTTGTTTTTCAGTTTGCTTGAAGTATGGTGTTGCTTTAATCTATGCTAGTTGTTAACTGATCTTCAGATTGTTGACAGAGTTATAATGAAAACATTATTTTCATTGGAGTAGTTAGGACAGTAGTGATGTCTCATTAACATTCTAGTCTCCAAGAACAACAAAAATGTTTTCTCATCACTGTAAAACATGAATGTGCTATCCTGCTTTTTTTCAAGTACAGAACAGAAATAGGTATTGAGCTACTTCTGTGTATTTTAGGATTTTGCTACTTTGTCTAATATCCAGCCTATACCAGCTCTGGAATTCCATTTATTCTGGATGTACTTGAAGAACCTTTTCAGCCAAATGTATTCTACTAAAGCCTTCGGTTTCAATAATCAATAGTCTCCTCTTTCTAACTTCAAATTTAATCTTCATTGGTGTCATTTTCCCTATATTTTTATGGCTGTGCTTCTTACTGCTGCTCACATCTTCCATCCTAGCTAGGATCATTATTTTAATCAAAGACGACCTCTTTGTGATTTGAGAACTAAGTGCTTTTGAAGGGAAGGAGGCACTCCGGTATTAAGCTGTATTAGGATCTGGATACTGTTTACAGATTTTGTTTGCTTTCTGCTTTTGCACATCTGTTTTCATCTTTGGATAACTGACTTTAAAAACAAAACAAAACAAAAACCAACAACAACAACAAAATCCCCCCAAAACCAAACAAAAAAGCTTTGGTTTTGTGCTAGTTAGCTACCATGTACTTAATTGCGTATATTAAGGTAATATGTGTATTTGTGGTTATTGCAAGAGATACTGTGCAATTCACAGGCCAAAGGCATCACTGTGATCAGCTAAGATGTCTTCACAGCTTGAAGCTATTGAGTTGTGGGGGATAACTTCTGCATCAGTTGCACTTACTGGTGCCTGGAAATTGCGTGTCCATCTGGTTACAGTAAGAAGTTGAAATATGCTGTTGTCGTAAATCCATAACAAATGCCTGCAGCTAGTTACAGTTTCTTTCGACTTGTATGGGGGAACCAGCTAATTACTTGGAGATGATTCTGGAAGATCTTATAGTTGTTAATTTGGTGGGAATATTCATTTATATGGTGTAATTTTTATATTTGTGTCAGGAAACAAGGAGTAATGTTTAATGGCTGTAGTCTAGCACATTTGTTTCAACATCTGTGATAAGAAAATGAAGTCATTCTCGAGAGAAAGAACAGATTCATTAAAAAGCAAAAAAACCCAACTGATTTCCTTGGCGTATGGTTCTGTTTGGTGGGGATGCTGGTTGACAGCCAGCTGAACATGAGCCGGCAGTGTGCCCAGGTGGCCAAGAAGGCCAACGGCATCCTGGCCTGTATCAGAACTAGTGTGGCCAGCAGGAGGAGGGAGGTGATCGTGCCCCTGTACTCGGCCCTGGTGAGGCCGCACCTCGAATCCTGTGTTCAGTTTTGGGCCCCTCACTACAAGACGGACATTGAGGTGCTGGAGCGTGTCCAGAGAAGGGCAACGAAGCTGGTGAAGGGCCTGGAGCACAAGTCTGATGAGGAGCGGCTGAGGGAACTGGGGCTGTTTAGCCTGGAGAAGAGGAGGCTGAGGGGAGACCTCACCGCGCTCTACAACTGCCTGAAAGGAGGTTGTAGCGAGGTGGGGGTTGGTCTCTTCTCCCAAGTAACCAGCGATAGGACGAGAGGAAATGGCCTCAAGTTGCGCCAAGGGAGGTTTAGACTGGACATTAGGAAAAACTTCTTTACTGAAAGAGTGGTCAGGCCTTGGAACAGGCTGCCCAGGGAAGTGGTGGAGTCCCCATCCCTGGAGGTATTTAAAAGACGTGTAGATGAGGCACTTAGGGACATGGTGGTGTTGGGTTAACAGTTGGACTCGATGATCTTGGAGGTCTTTTCCAACCTTAGTGATTCTGTAATTCTATTTCAGGCGCGGTGGGTGGGATTTGGGTCTAGGTTGTCACCTGAGTGTGGGTGGTCCCCTGGTCAGTGTGATCCACCCGTGGCAGTCAGAGGCGCTTATGGAGAGATTTAGCTCACCCTAAAACTCAGCTCACTTGCCCACAGATCGGGGTGTCAGACGGCCTCCGACATGTGGGGTGTCCGTGTGGACACCTTCGGCCAGGCAAAGGAGAATTTGGGGTACCGATCTTCTTACATATTCCTTCTCAATTCAGATTTTTTGAGTTATTTCATTCTTCATTTTCTGTGTTTTCCTAACTTGAAGCTTTCCTTGTCTTCTCTCGCCTGCCGTATTTATGAACTTCCCTCTTGCAACTCCGAAGTAGCATCGTTAATCCAGTGCCACTCTTAACCTTATGTATATCTCTGCCTTTTCTTGCCATGACTGTGCCTTTTCCTGTGGCTTTCCAAGACCCAACTCTAATGCTGGGCTATAAACAGTCCTTTCTCACTTTCCCAAAAGCTGGTATTTTTCTGCCTTCAAATTGCTCCCTTGGGTTCAACCTGTAAGTAGCTCTAAGATTGCTATTTGATACACTTTTTATAGATCTGTACTATGATTTTCTGTTTCTCCCATCAGTAAGAATCTGTGAAAGCTGTGTCTCTTGGGTCCGTTATTGATCGGTCGTTTTACATTCCCAATGAAAAGAATGTTGTTTTATTTTGTTGGCTTTCTTTTTTATGGATGATAACTGTCTCTTTTGCTCTCGTAGATCCAGGTTTGCACAGACAGCAGTTTTTCCTTCAGCGACCGTCGAATGTGGTGGCCATGGAAGGGAAGGATGCTGTTCTGGAGTGCTGCGTTTCTGGGTACCCCTCTCCCACCTTCACGTGGCTGCGAGGAGATGAAGTGCTCTCTGTCAGGTAGCTCAGTCCTTTGTGGGTCGCATATCTAACACTACGTTTCCTTCAGCAAAGTATAGGCAAACCACTGAGAAATGCTTTAAATTCAGTGGGGTGGACTTGGAGGCCGTGAGGTTTTCCTGCTAAATAATAACGGGACTAGACGTGTCTCTTAACCTGCTGCTATAACTCATCTCTGCACCGAATCCGAGGGTGGAATTTGATCATAAATGTCACCTGGCTGGTATTTAAAATGGAAGTGTAAAGCTATTAACAGTAAAAATCACAGCTGAGAATTACTTGCAGCATAATTACTGTGTGTATTTGTCTAGATAGAGATAGCACCGTAACACATTGCGGACATGTGTGATCAATGTTTCAGGTCCAAAAAGTATTCGTTACTGGCTGGCAGTAACCTACTCATATCAAACGTGACTGACGATGATTCTGGGACATATACGTGTGTAGTCACCTACAAAAACGAGAACAGCAGTGGCTCTGCAGAGCTGTCAGTGATGGGTGAGTACGTGAACTGCGCCCACTTTGCTTTTCCAAGAACGTTTTTAATTATTCCCTTTTCCAGAATTGACTTAATTTTCAGAACCCCAAGTAACTGCAAACTGTACAAGTCCCATCCCTCCTTTGATCAGGTATTCACACCCGTGGAAACCAAGTCCTGTAAATCTTTGCATATTTCCCACCGTGCCCAATAGCCTTGCTGTTGCCGAACATCTTATGGTATCAGATGCTAATTGCTACTGCCTTCTGCACGTGGTCCTTTCCCTTTATTTCTCCTTCCTGAAGCCTTATATTTGGCATTATGATGGATGTGCCCGTTGTGCACTATGTCAAGTGGGTTGAAAATCAGGTTTGTAGCTGGGTTGTTTTTTATGTCATGAGCAGTCAATAAAGTAGGATAAGAAAAATCGATGTATTTAGCATCTTCTCACCAAATTAACAAGAAGTCCAAGTAAATTCATGGAAGTCCTCATTCAGCAGTGATGCTCTGAGGGTTCCCACTGTCAGATCTTATGAAAGCACCCTCCCGACAGAAGCTGCTTTCCCCCACGCTCCTTCCTCATGGCAAATATTAATGGAATCAGAAATACGTTTAAATCTAATAGCTGCCTTTTTTCTTTTTTCTTTATTTAAACCATTGAACAATAGCAGAGTACATTAGTGTTATTCAGTCAGATCTAAAGAGTGACATAGTTAATACTTAGTCAAACAATAACATATTTCACTGTGCTGTTCATTTTGCATTCTGGCTTTAAAGCTTATGCGTGAAATACTTTCATTAGTGAATCGAGCCTTAATTTGGATTATAGGATTTTCAGTGCTTGTATAACAATATCCTTTTATCAAGCCATAATAAAATATAATAATTGCTGGTGATGGAGTGTTCAGTTCTATTTCTTCAGGTACATTAATGTAATACATTGTTTTGCTGGGTAAAAATAAAAATGTGGCTTTATAATTGTGGAAGTTCATTTGTTATGGAATTGTTTTCATTATAAGGAATCAAATACTGAAAAGGCAGGTAAGTTGTTGGGCAGTATGCTTTATTTGCCTTACTGAAATATGTTGATTTCAAATCTCGTGTGCAGCAGCTGACTAATTGTCATTTGAGAAGTAGAAATAAATTACACTGATATTTCACCCCAACAATAGATTGCAATATCTATTGGTAAGAGCAACTGTGGCTGGAGGATCGTTGTGTATGTTATTGCTTAGATAGTTTCTGACCACGTAGGTCTCATGAAAATTAGGTGGGAGTTTTGCATCTAAGTCCCTTTATGTACCTTTTGAAAAATTTATTCCTGTCTGCATTCAGTCTGTAGTGCATCTGGCTTTGGCTTCATTATGCCTTCTGCTGTAAGCGTGTCATGTAGAAATTAAAGGTACATAAATTTTCATGCACATTGAGAGGTATGTGATGGCAATATGACACAACTGTAAGGATGTATATGAGATGATGAAAATCTCAGGAGAAGAAGACAGAATGCCAGGATAGTGCTAAGCATGAAACTGAACCGACACAAAGATGAAAGATGCTACGACTGCTGACTCTTTGCAGTCTCAAGGGGAAACCGAAACTGCGTTGCCATGGCACAATGCAATTGTATTCAATTTCTACCTGTTGGTAGATCAAAGATTTCTTTGGTAAAGTTTCTGTTCACGTATGGAATTCACAAATACACAACAAATGAAGAAAAGTGGAGCTGTAACTTAAGCACAATATTGATGTACATTTCTTATTTTCATGGGTAGATCACTCACTCGTGAGAGACTTCACTGAAAATGAAACATCATGTTCACGTATGTTTGTATTAATAACAGAAAATGTTCAAAGGATTCAAAAGAAATTACATGACTAAACTGGAGAGATAATGACAGCAATCCCCTGATACTTGTCTTTCCAGAGCAATATACCTGGGCTACTAATTTGCTCAGAATCTGTTTATTTGTTGAATTCATCCTTACCAGTAGGAAATTCTCGAATGCACTAAAGCTTCTCATGTAATCATTATATCTCATAAACAGAATAATTAATTGGTAGGTTCATTTTCTTCTTTGGCTAGATACAAATGCAGATATTTCTGTGTGTTTCCCTAGAGTTAATATGCTTGTTTATTTAACAAACTATAAATTGCCCATCAGTATTTTGTTGCAAGACTCGCATTTTTTAATATTGATGTAATCCTTTAATTGTTAATGTATCTGTAGTGTATCCCTCTGTAGAAGAGGGATAAGTGAGACATTTGCAGTATGAGCAAAAAAAAATTTAAGAGTCCAGTAATTATCTCCTCTGAAGTCTGAGTAGACAACATCAGATCAAAGTTAGTAATATCACATGGTAGCAAGATGCTTTTGATCTTTTAAATAATGAGGCTATTTGCAAGAAACAGTGTGTTTCACAATGGAGTTCCTGTTAGTTCTTTTAAAGAGCTAAAAGTAACTCCTCCTGTGTTGGACATAGGCCTAAAATTGCAAGAAGTGAATGAGTTTGCAAGAAGAGATAATGTATTTTGCTAAATTTTAATTTTGTATCATGGCCTTTTGGCAATATTTTCGCCACATCTCCCTGTGTAATGAAAATTAAAAGATCTGGTGCAGATTACCTGGTTACTATATAAATCATCTGCATGCTCAGTAGCTTTAGAGAACTTAGCGTTTAAACAAATGTTTGAAGATGGTTAAATGTGTTAACCAGTGTCAACTACAATTATTTTCTAAATATTTTTCTAGCTTTCAGAAGTGTATTTTGGGCTTGTTCCCGTTTGGCCTCTGAGGGTTTTTTTTTTTAATATAGCTTCTCTGTTTCATGTTTTGTTGAGCGAGACTGAAAGTCTGCTTTGCTGTTTTAGCAAAGAAGCCCCCTACCCCAACTCCCTAAATGTTCTGGAAGTGACATAAATCCAGAAAAAGCTTTTCCATAACGTATACCTACTTGCGGGATCTCGCTCTGATTGCAGCGGTTTGGCGGTGGGATAAATGCCTGGGGTTTCTGATCCTGGTAGAGATCTAATTCTATAAATCCAGTTTTCGGTAGGTGGTTGTAACTGAATTGATAGATTTGCTGTCATACATAACTTCTTTTTCTTCCTGCTTAGTATTTGGACTGTTCCTTAATTGCATCAAAGACCAAACTATAGCTCTAATCGTGTTGATGCGGCCGGGGAAGAGCATCGCTTCTTCTGAGGTTGAGAGTTTTGTCAACTATTCTTTGCATAATAATGCATATATTCAGAATTACACTATCAATGCCTTTGAATCAGGCAGCTATTGTTAAAATGGACCAAGATTGAGGTAATATATATTTTTTTTTTATTTTCTCTTCCTAAAATGTCCCTTAAGGAGGAACAGAGAAAGGAACAGTTTTCCAGTAGTGTTGGATCAGGAATGCTGGTTTGACATAATTTTAAGGTCATTGCCTAAAGTAAGAGAAAGTAGTAGCAAAAAGCAAAAAAATGGATCTGAAAGACAGTGTTTGCAGAAAAACACTGCTGCTAACTTTTACCAAGCATCCATATGTATAAGCTACAAACAACTTGTCTGCAATTTGGAAGCATTTTTCTCTATGCAAATGCCTTTTACTATAGGGAGTTTTTAATATGAAGTGGTTTTAGCACTAGTTTTGTTTGCCATTGCGGAAGAAAAGCTACATCAAAGGTAAGGCCATGTGAGACAAGTGGCTTATAAAATTACCTAGGTCTTTTTGACAAGAGTGAACGGTTGTAAGCACCGTGCATCTTGGTCAAATCACTTTTACTTCTGACTCCGCTGCATAAATTCCTGTAGCAAAATGGTTATTCAGAGATCAAGGTCATGGAAAGCACTGAATAAAGCAGGCGTGGATCACATTGTGTGTGAATCACTTAGGTAGAGAGTAGCATTAAGAAGGAAGCCTGCATCACCATAATGTCGTTTGACACAGCAATGAAAGCATGAAAAATGAGAAACCTAACATTGCCGTTGTGAGCGCTGCTTAAGCCGATCTCGCACAAATGCGCCGGTCCTGAAATATTTACAAAAGCAATTATAGTCTATTGCTAATGTTAGAAGTCAAACCCAGTGATGTATCCTATTGGTATATACTCGTTGAAAAATAACTTGCAAAACTGTAGAGAAGCAGGCAGATCTTCAGTGGATGGACGTTGCAGCAGCTCTGCTGAATCTGGTGAACCCAACAAAATTGGAGTAACCTGAGGATCTCTTCCTCTGTGATCCCACGCTGTGGGGTGAATCAAACTTGCTCATGTCTTGCGATCTTGTTGAAGAAACCAAACACAGAATCGACTATTTAATTATCCTCTGCTTGGAGTTTATAGTTCTTTGCGGAATGGGGCATATGTATACGTGAGCTGGCAGGATAAAGCAGCGCAGTAATCGATGACAAATCTCATGATGGTTTACTTTAGGGAAAAATGAGACAAATGAACATAAAACCCAATCTCTCCCCGAAGCAAAGACTGCCTTTCTCCCGTTTGTTTTCCTGATAAGTTTCAATACTGAAAAATTCGGTGTAAATGGAAGCATTGATAGCATTTGTTACATTTCTTAGAGGTATAACTTTGAGTCTGTGACATAGCAACGTGGGTTTTCCTTCCCTACAGCTGCTCTGTCAAGTCAAGCGCACCAAAGTGTCCAATGTGTTCTTGTGCCCGCTCCCAGAAGGTTAATGGTGCCAAGATATCTAGTCCTCACTGAGATGAGAGAAAATTAATGGTACTGTCACCTGAAAATATGAAAGTCAAATATTTAAATTAGGCTTTGGGAAGACACTTCTCTTTCAGGGTATTGATGTGGGACAGGCAACCCAAACTCTGTTGGAAATACTGGGTTTACCTGCTGAAAGGTAACCAGGCTTTCTAAGGTGAAGGTGCTGGACTAGATGGATCAATAGCTCTTTCTGTGTTCACTCCCCTTTATTTAGAGAATTTAAAAAATGTATTACCTAATCAATAGCTTTCAGTGGCTTCACAGAAGCCAGTTATATTTTCCATCCAGGAAAAATA